TTGAACCCAGATATTGATTATTATAATTACAAACATATAAATAATCCAAACGCAAGGCAAAAGGTCCTTGACTTTATGGAAGATGGGGGTTATATCGATATATATAGACAATTTCATCCAGATACTCCAAGATACACATGGAGGAAAAAAAACCCATTAAAACAAAGCAGGCTTGATTTCTTTCTGATCTCAGAAAATTTATTGCCAAGTGCAGTAGGATGTACAATTGAAACATGTTATAGGTCTGATCATTCCATGATTAGTTTATCTTTAGCTTTTAATGATTTTAAAAAAGGTAAAGGTCTTTGGAAATTTAATAATTCCCTTCTTAGTGATGAGAAATTTCTTAATACTATAAATGAAATCATTAATAATGTTAAGAAACAGTATGCTGTACCTATATATTTAATGGAAAACTTACAGCAAGTTAATGATGAAGAATTAGTCTTTACGATAAATGATCAATTGTTTTTAGAAACCCTTCTCATGGAAATAAGAGGAAAATGTATTTCCTATTCCTCATACAAAAAGAAACTAACAAAACAAAAAGAAGAAAAACTTGTAGAAGAAATAAAATATCTTGAAGAAACAATACATACTATTGCTGACAATGTTGAACTCTTAGAGGAAAAAAATAAGGAATTAGAAGATATAAGAAAACAAAAGATGAGGGGTGTTTTAATAAGATCTAGGGCAAGATGGGTAGAAGAAGGGGAAAAACCGTCACAATATTTTTGTAACTTAGAGAATAGAAATTTCACAAGCAAGATCATTCCAAAAATAGAATTAGAAAATGGTAACATAATTTATAAGCAGGCCGAGATTTTGAATGAAGCTAAAAAATACTATGAATACTTATACAGAGACATAGACAGTTCTATAAATGATATCAATGATCTTGATGTTGAATTAAATTTTCCAAACATTGCTAAACTTTCAAAATTAGAGTCCTTGGAGACAGAAGGTAAAATAACATTAAATGAAGCTTCAGAAACGCTCCGCAATATGAAATCAAATAAATCGCCAGGTTCAGATGGATTTACATCAGAGTTTTTTAAGGTATTTTGGAAGTCCATTGGTATTTTTGTAGTAAGGTCCATTAATTATGCCTATGAAAATAAGACGCTAAGTATTACACAAAGACATGGTATAATAACCTGTATACCAAAAGGTGATAAACCCAGACAATATCTAAAAAACTGGAGACCTATTTCGCTGCTTAATACTGTTTATAAAATTGCATCAGGCTCAATTGCTAATAGAATGAAAAAATATCTCGATAAAATTATCCATCCAGATCAAACTGGTTTTATACAAGGAAGAAATATTTCTGAAAATATAAGACTTATATATGATATCATGCAATATACAGAAGAAGAAAGTATACCTGGACTTTTGCTCCTGGTGGACTTTGAAAAAGCTTTTGATTCCTTGTCTTGGTCTTTTATACAGAAATCTCTTAAATTTTTTAATTTTAGCAATTCTATTAGAAAATGGGTTGATATTTTTTACACAAATATTACAGCTTCTATTAATCAAGGAGGAAATTTATCACAATCTTTTAACCTACACAGAGGCTGTCGTCAAGGAGACCCCTTGTCTCCATATCTATTTCTCATTTGTGCAGAGATCCTTGCAATCAGCATTCGTAACAATAAGAATATAAAGGGGATAAAGTTTATGAATACTGAAAAAAAGTTAAGCATGTTGGCAGATGATACATCTTTAATATTAGATGGAAGTGAAAGATCACTCCAAACAAGTCTCACTACTCTTAAAAGATTTGCGAATATGTCAGGCCTGCATATAAATTACAGTAAAACTCAAGTAGTCTGGATTGGGTCCAAAAAAGGCAGCATGGATACCTTAAGTACAGATCATATGTTAGAGTGGGGAAAAGTAACTTTTAAACTATTAGGCACTGATTTTTGAAACAGACATGAAAAATATATTTATGCTTAATTATGCATCAAAAATAAGTAATATAAAAAAAAATTAATGCAACACTGGAACAAGAGAAATTTAACTCCTCTGGGTCGTGTAACAGTTCTAAAAACTCTTTTATTGCCAACCTTAAATCATGTTTTTGCATCTCTCCCAAGTCCCTCTGAAATTCAAATGAAAGAATTAGAAAATCTATTTTATACTTTTGTAATGGGAACTAATATTTCAAGACTAAAAAGAAAAATTTGTGTAATGAATTACAAAGAAGGGGGCTTTAAGATGATTAGTGTAAGAGAGTTCATTATGTCCTTAAAACTAGTTTGGATGAAAAAATTATTACTGCGGGACAATGGGTTAGACTCCTTTTTAGATATTGACATTAAAAAAATTGTATGTTGTGGGCAAGAGTATGTTGTCAAAAAAATCAATAATTTAAAAAATAAGTTTTGGAAGGACGTGTTACATGCATGGCTAAGCTTTTGTGACAAATCATTACAAAATGATACACTGACTTCCTTAGAACCATTATTCCATAATAAAAAATTAATCATTAATAAAAAGCCATTCTTCTATAAAAAATGGGTCTCTTGTAACATTTTATGTATAAATGACTTACTCAATGAAGATGGGACATTTATGAGTTTGAATGATCTACATATGAAATACGGGATAAAAACACATTTTCTAGAATATAGTGGCATAAAGGCATCTATATTAGAATGGCTAAGAAAGATTAACAGAGATCAAAATAACTTATCAAAGAAACCTTACCCATATATCCCAGATAATGTTTATTTGCTCCTGAATGCAAAGAAATCACATGATTTATATGAAATACTTATTCGACAAAAAATTGAACCATTGGGAAAAATCTCTTGGAATAGAATATTTGATTTGAGCAATGATGAATGGGAGATAATCTATTTACTTCCATTCAAATGTACAAAAAACACCAAACTTCAGTGGTTCCAATTTAGAATAAACCATAAAATACTAGCGACAAATTCCTTCCTACACAAAATTAATACAACTGATGATAAAAAAAGTACCTTCTGTAAAAAAGAAACTGAAACCATAGAACATCTGTTGTGGGAATGTGAACATGTTCAGTCTCTTCTAGAAAATTTTGCAAACTACTGTTTCAATAAAATCCACACCTCTATATCTTTTTCAAAAAAAGATTTTTTATTGGGCTCTGTGAAGAAAACTGATAAGCTTAAAAATATTATTGCCTTACAAATAAAACATTATATCTATCTATACAAATGTACAAACAGAAACATCTCCTTAGGTGGTTTGATATCCTCTATTAAGACAATGTATGATTTACAAAAATATATATCTTATAAAAATAATGAAAAAGAATCTTTTGATGAAAGCTGGAGACCATTAACTGATTTATTTTCTTAATAATCTCTCTCTCTCTCTCTCTCTCTCTGTCCTCTCTCTCTATTCCCCTCTCTCTCTCTATCCCCTCTCTCTCTCTTTCAATGTTTGTCATTTTGTAAAAAATGTTTTCAAAAATACAATAAATTATAAAAAAAAAGTTCAAAAAAAAAAAAAAAAAAAAAAAAAAAAAAATATTTTGACCTCTTTCAGTTTGTAGCAAGCAAAATACCAAAGAGGTACATGTATTAAGAATACTTGAATACTTGATAAAGGTCGTCATACCCCCCCCCCCCCCAAAAAAATCGATTTATGCAAGAAAATGAGGTCTCGAAAGAAAATAGAGGCATTATAGACAATAGTGATGTGTAAATCGTATTTAGTCCCCCCCCCCCCCCCCCCCCCCCCCCCCCCCCCCCCCCCCCAAAAGAAAAAGAAAACAGAAGACGCGATTTCATCTGTATTCTCAGCGTTTTAAAATTTACCATCTTGTTTCACAAACATGTTCTTTTCATAAATGTTCAACGCATGTTAGCTTTTGTTAAATTCATTTTTCAAATATTTGATCTGACAGACCTGTAAATTATATTCATATTGGTGCAGGACATTATTGACAACAGCTCACTAGAATATTCAAAGAATAATGAACTGCAAAACAATCTTCTGAGCAGAGTTTTCGATCGGTTCCTCCTAGTCGAGAAATGTGCAGAAGATGGCAGACTCTGCATGAATTGACCACGTGGAATTTTCACAAAAAATCTTTAATACGACTAAAACATTTTTTTCATATTCTCCAACAAGTATCTTTAAGATAGTATAGACAATTTTTTTTTTCATTGCGTTAAGGAACACATGTATGCTTAGCAATCAGTGTGAATGATCTTAATTGTAGAGAAAAAATATGTATTTATTTTATCAAATAAAAAATTTCAGAGCTTGAATTTCTTTTTATGACTAAAGACTTTTTGGTACAAAATTTACGCTATGACTCATGGATTACAATAAAAAGTTTTTTTTTTTTTTATTTTACCTTTCAGAACAGTGCACTTGTTAGTGTCAAAAATACAGTATTTCAGTCTAATTATGCAAGCTAACCGGTTTTTTTTCCTTTATAAATATAAATAGATCACTGACCTTTGTGTTACAGAAAATAATACGATTCTCTTTCTCTCTCTCTATTTTTTTTTTAATTTAAAAGTTATTTAAGATTTAAATGGAAACCATGTAGCATTTTGTGCTGTGATAGGAACAACATTTAAAAAAGGATACATGTGAATTAATTAAGTAACCAAACATGACCACTGGATTTTACCGAAGGTGATATTTAATAGTCCCAATGAATGTAAAGGTGCTGTGACATACTAGTACTTTTGCTTAGATAGGAAAGATAACTCCACTACTCGTGCATATTTATAGAACACCTGTCTTTTTACTTCCCTTTGATGATTTCACGTAAAAACTAAACTTTATTTGCTTTTTTGTTAATATTTTGATTTTATTTATACATTTTTATTTTTCAATTATTTTTACTTTATGTATTTCTTTAAATTCGCAAGAAATTATTTTTCATGAAAAGAGTAGTAAGAAAAGACTTTTAATTTTTTATTAAAAACATTATACAGTTTAAGAACCGTTATATTTTATAAGTCATTTTGTACCTTACTAGTATTAGCTTTGCGCAGTGGCGGTACCATAGCCGATGAGGTTAATCCGAGGCGTGGTTATTGCTAGTTGAAAACTATACCCAATACCCCGCGCAGTGGCCTGAAACATGGCCGCTAGCGCAATTTTTGAACGCTCCTACGGGAGCAACCATAAACAAATAATGTAAGAATTATCATAGAATAATACACGCTACCATCCGCCGTGTAAATTATATTCATATGTATGTCAATAAAACGAGAGAAATAAAATTCGCCATTTGAGCGTAGAGGTCTAAGAAATATATACTGAAAGGAAAAAGAAACGCAGGGTAAACTTTTGAGGTGAATTAAATTTGTTTTTCTTAAAATACTTTTTAGTTTTCCTATCTACCTTTTAAAATCATCTTTCAAAAAGATAAAACCAAATTCTCATATGATTTTGTCTAGTTATTCATAAGTTATTGAAGCTCAAATGACGATACCCCCCAAAAGTGAAAATCGAAAACTCTCATTATCTTCAATGTCTGTCTCGTGCATTTGTCAGTCTTATTTCTCCTTTGCATGGAATTTCATCAGAGTGTTTATCTTTCAAATCCTGGCTATATTAAGCATGGGTAACCACGCAAAAAATTAAGTCAAACGGCGCGCGCATGCGCCAGTGAGAGGAATACAACCGTAAGTTGACTGGCTCAAAAAACCAAATTGCAGAAATGTTTTCTTTCAAATTTCGTATGAATGTATTGATTATAATCATCTACTCTATAAATAGCTGTTTTTGTGGTAGTAAGGTGGCGATTTAAGAGATGGCAGGACGAATAACTCGCTCGTAATATGACTCTGTTTCGCGTTACCGTCATCGTCACGGTTGATTGAAAACCACTCCAGACCCTCTCTCACAACGGCTAAAACGTTTTATGGGGGGAAATTTACAAGAGACTGCTTAGTAAACCGTTGTTACCTTTTTCATTAATTAGGCAATTCGAAAACAAGACCCCATTGAACTTCCGTAAACTGTGCCAAGATTGCAATAAATTCATAATGTCTCTTAATAATGAAAAACGATGTACATACTTCATATGCATCAAATAATGCAACAAGATTTGTTGACAAACTCGTCGTTATCAAATTGCACGTGTTTTGGGCTTTTTAGCGTTTTCCCTACGTGACGTCATAAATTTTACGATTGAGTAATTCTGAATACTGATTTTGATGCACAGTAACTAAATTTCCCTTCTGACCAATTTTCGTAATTTTCGGTCATATGGTCAATTTTTTATCGAAAATTATGCTACCCTGCGTTTCTTTTTCCTTTCAGTATATTTAAACTTCTAAATAATAAAAAATAACAGACAGAGCATCGGAAAAAGTAACCTTTCAGAATATTCTTTAGATTCCTACAATCTGAATAAAACACGATTCAACAAAAATATCACATTGACCTTGATTCACTTTTACAACTGTGAATAAAATATTGTTTAAAAATGTATAAGCTTCAATTAATACAACACTAAAATATCACTGGTACTTGTGGACAGGACCCCCCCCCCCCCCCCCCCGATATTCAACCCCTGGGCTTATTGGACATTTTTTTCAAAATGATATTTATTACACTTATTCATCATGTGTACATAATGAAATAATCATCAAAACCCCAAAACAATCACTCCACAAAAAAAATACCCCACTATACATTATAAGGAGTATAATGTATAGTGGGGTATTTTTTTTGTGGAGCGATTGTTTTGGGGTTTTGACGATTTTTTCATATTGTACACATGATGAATAAGTGTAATAAATATACTTTTTAAAAAAAATCTCCAATAAGCCCAGGGGTTGAATATCGGGGGTGGGGGGGGGGGTCCTGTCCACAAGTACCTGTGTAAAATTTACGCAATTGATTGTAGAAAGTTGACTGAGATTAACAGTAAAGTCACAGTGTCTTGATTCTAAAATTACTGTTTTAGAACGCCCATTTTACCTCTTCATCTGACCTTTCTTTATACAATTTCGTTTCATAAATAACATAACGTTATTTATGTCTCTGATATCATCAAATTCGATTCTTCACTATCAAATTTTTCTTCTTTAACACTTTGTTTATTTGGTGTTTGTTTTAATGTAAAATGATAAAACTCTTGTTTTGGGGAAGAGGGTGATTATGTTATTTTTAAAAATCATCGGGATCGGTGTCGTATTTTGTAACTATGACGTCAAAGATGTGTTTTAATTGTGACGTCATGGAACTATTATGATAAAAGAAAGTCTAAAAATGTCGGTAAGTCGATTGTTTACTTTAATATTTTGTAGAATAAGTACTTTCCTTTGTTTGGATGTGTTGTTGTGATTCAGTCCTTCGTTCTTTGACAATATCCTCCATCTCAAATTCCCATTGTGTTTTTTATCTTGAGCCAATTCATCTTTGTGAAATATGATCGGTCATTAGGTGTGTAATAAATTTATTTCATCTTGGGGACTACAACGGGGTTGAAAAAAAAACGTGTTATTATTATAAAAAAACGAAAAACATACTAAACATGGCTCTTAGATTTACCCAGAACCTCTCTCCATATTTTATACAGTTGTGTAAACAAAGGTAGTGACTGTTCCTTCGCCAAGCGCTCGGCACTAGAAGTGAAAGTCACGGGTCTTTCGGATATGACCTTAAAAACGTAGGTCCTGTGTCACGGTAGGCGTTGGCACGATAAAGAACCCTCACTGCTCAAAGGCCCTGAGTGCCGAGTATAGGTCTAAATTTGAAGCCCTTCACCGGCATACGGTGACGTCTCCATATGAGTGAAAAATTCTCGAGAGGGACATAAAACAATATACAATCAATCAATCAATATACAGTTGTGTCTACTGCCATTTTTCCTCGTGTTCTCATTATATATGAATTTCTCATTTAATATATAATTAGTTTTGATATATTATGTTATTAGTAATAGTGGTGTGGGGATAATACTGTCTGGTAAAATCGTCTTTTTTTTTTTTATCAAATTTTGACTTCTTGGTTTTATTATGTGTAAAAAAAAAATACATGTATTAGTGTTCACTATGGCACGCAAAATTCACAAAAATGAACTAAACGTAGTTTCACAGTCGATAAACTAGGTTTATCGGTTGTAAACTATAGTTTACGGACTGTAAACTATAGTTAACAAGGTAAATCTATATTTTACATCTGTAAACCATAGTTACGCGATAATCTATGTTTCAAAACCGTAAGTTATACTTGACACTGAAAACAATCATTTGCGATTGCAAAACATGGATTATCTGATAAATACAGTTTCACGATTTGTAAACTATGGTTTACAACTCTACAGTTAACGATCTGCTAATTACAGTTTCACGATTTGTGAAACTATGATTAACAACTCTTAACTATAGTTCACGATTGTAAATTAAAGTTTACAGACGTGAATCTATGTTTATCACCAAATCTATTGTTAACGTTTTATTACATCTACAGATAAACTTAGATTAGCATACGTAAACTATAGTAAACAACCGTTAAATATAGTTTTACAGATGAAAACTATAGTTAACGAATTGTTAACTATAGTTCACGGTTTGTAAACTATAGTTTACAGTCGAAAAAATTGGTTTATTAACTGTGAAAGTATGTTAAGCTCATTTTTGTTAATTTGGCGTTCAATAGTTTACTTCAGATTCAAATTAACATTGCACAACCATGCATACAGATAAGTATTAATGTGAAACACATGAACTCTACAGTGCATTTAGTATTTTAAAAAAGTTATTTCCCTTTGAACTTGACACATCTTCTGGGTATTATTATACTCCCGTTTGAAAAGTGGGGGTATGTAGTGATCGGGCTGTCTGTCCGTCTAGCTGTCCGTACGTCGGGTCGTCTGATACGCGTTGAGGTTCCAATCTCTTATATGCAAACTCCTCTTTTACCACAGAATGAAATTCAAGGAAATTCTCACAGTATCTTTGTTACAGAGTGTCATTGTGAACCATTGATTCTACTTTTTGATCTGACTAATATCTTGGTTTTCCCATAGCAAAGAATGAACACTACCATTCTTTCTATAATATTGAAGGGTACCCATCTCTTATCCGCAACTTCTCCTTTACCACTGAATGAAATTTAATGATACTTTCAAAGACTCTTTTTTACATAATGTCATTTTGCACCTCGATCCTATTTTACTGTTTGATCTCACACTTATTTTGGGTCTCCCAGTGCAAACATGGACGTAGCCTTGATAAACATCTGGGAGGGGGGTATCATTTAGTGAGCTTATTATTCAGAGTACCTTTAGTTTTTATAAGAGATCGTATGTATGCATGTGCTTGACAGTGTTTTGCTATACATATACTGTTAATAGCCTTTCATATTTCCAAATAAGACAACAACAACACCAACAAAATAAATAAATAAATAAAAATAATAATAATAATAATAAATTTAAAAAATAGTAGAAAAAAAATAATGAAGAAATAAGCTTAACATTTCTTTGATACAATTTCAGTACCACAATACAGTAATTTACTTAGAATCCATTATCAGCAGCATATTAAATAGATTCTTGTGCCTGAAAAATACATTGATAATTTTGATTTCATATGCTTGATTTATACAAACGGACGGTAAACCTAGATCTACAGACCTGCTCATTATAATTGACCATTTACGCTTACACACCTGATGAAGTTTAACTCAATTTAAAATTGAAGAAAAGTTTATTCTGATTAATCGCCTACGAGGGTAAGTACATAATGTTCATATTAATCTCACTCTTCAATTTCGTTTTAAAATATTGCGATTTGTCCTTATGTTTACATTAAAAACAATATATAGCATAAGTGCATTCTCTGTTCTGTGCATTTCCTATTTGCCTCTACAAATTATGCGAATTGAAAATATTTGTTTTGCCACTTCCAACACAAACCATTTCATGATATTGAAAAACATGTCAGATCATTATATCTATACAAATATTTGCAGAAATTCGCCACTCCGTGTCAGTGATACGAGATCTGGTAATAGGGAAACACAAATAGGCATCATTTAAGTAAATCTCTCCAAAAACAAGAATTGGCGCTACTGAATGCATTTTTAGGATACATTTGAATACAGTGCAGCTGCATTCAACAAAAATGTTTTTGCAGAAATAGTTTTTAAAAACACTGGAT